GTCTTAGATATATATACTAGGTTAGGTCCCGTGCCATACACGGTTATTGACAAAAAAAAAATATGTGTGTATATACTTATCAGTGATCATATATTGTAATATTTCATTTTTAGTCATTAACTTTTGTTTATCTCAATTGTATCCTTGAAACGGATATTATGTTTGCCACATAAAAACTTATACTCCGTAGTAGAAGATTGTATTTTTTAAAAATATTTACAAAGATTATACTTCCTCCGTTCTTTTTTACTTGATCCGCTTTGACTTTAACACTATTCATCACCCTTCCTTTGACCGTCTTTTGTAAATAATATGCAATGAAAAATATATTCATGTAAGATATTTTTGAATTCGTCTCAATAAGTACTATCATAATATGTAAATTTAAAAATTTTAACTTATAGAGAATTAAAGTTATTGATAGTTAAAGTTTTGCATTGACAAGCGTGATAAAAGAAACAGGTCAAGTAAAAAAAAGAACAGAGGAAGTATTTTGCTATTCAATTTTCCATATTAATTAGTTAATTGAATGTGAATATAAAAAAAAAAGGTAAACATCATTTCTATTTGTATAGTTATTAAATTTTACAAATAATTTCCTTAAATAAATTTTCTATTAAATATATATATATTTTTTAAAAAATACTAAGGACACATCAGAAACTGACATGTGTCATTGATGATGAGTCTTTTAATATATAGTTATTGATGAGGGAGTATCTCAGATAATAAAGTTTAACAAGTACAAATTTTATACTCTATTGATTTCATCAAATAGTATTCTCTTTGTCCATGATCAAATGCTAAAATCATTAGTAATGTCGGTCAATAAAGCAATGACTACAAATCCGATTGGACGAATTGGTAAAAACCCAACAAAAAGGAGGTGGAAGTCAAGTAATTAAGGTAGATTTCTTAACACTTCTATCAGCTAGTCTCTGTGCGCAAGTAACCCTCATTACACTAGCGAAATAATCTCTATAATGATTGGTCTTACGGTATGGCCAGCCACATACTTCGTATAAGACTTTGTGCACTTTTATATATCTAGGCGTTTACTAAAGCAAAGTCTACCAATAATTTGGTGCAATTTTTTCACCCAGATATTGGGGTTGGACCGTTGGAGTCATTCCAATTTTTCCAAAACTTATTAACTCGTCAACCAAATTGGATTTCCATTTTGTAACAATTCTATGTGGTCACTTTTGGTGTACTTCAACCTTCAACCTAAACTTGCTTAATTTTCTTTAATCTCTAAAATTATACTTGTATCTGTTAGTACCAGTAAATATGCACTGGTTACAATACTATTATAATTTCCTTCACTCTTACGGAATTTAGTAATCATAATAGTAAGAGTGTAAAACTTTTAGCATCACATTAATATGACTATTTCAACGCTAATATATTATACATCGAGTTAATCCTTAAAAACTTACCTATATAATTTAAACTCGTGCGTAATTCACAATTCATTTCAGATACTCCGTAACATTTTGCACTACATACCTTCATTTTTTTAAAAAAATGGTAATTTAAATAAACCTTTTTTTTTGGTATTCTATTTTTACTTTTTTTTTTTTTTTTTGATTTTTTTGAGGGGAAACGTTAGCAGCATAAAAGAGAGGATTTGGTATTCTATTTTTACTTACATATACATAGATCTTAGGAAAAGTCAACTTATTATTTAGTCTCTTAAGTTTTCAATTAATTGTTTAATTCTAGTTTCGGATAAACACTTATAATATCTTGATTAAATTGTTTTGGATAAACACTTATAGTATCTGTATCTTGATTAAATTGCTTTTAGAAAAGGTTTTATTTTCTATTTTTTTTATATAATTTAGAATTGCGACCTCACAATTATATAACTTACTAGGTGATTTAAAAATAAAACAAATTGTATAAACCTTTTACAAAATAACGTGTGTACAGTGGTAGTAGATAAACACTGTAGAATGTTGATTGTAATACAGTAACTCTTGGAGGTAGCAATATATTGCAAAGTTTATTAGGTAAATATTGTCAAAAAATTATTAGTATACACTCACGTTAAAAATAAACCAAACTTTAGTATACACCCAATTTACAATAATTTTAATTTTAATGTACATCGAGCAATGTTTGGGTAATTTTTAACTAATTTTGGGTAACTTTTAGCCCTTTTGGAAACTTTAACATTTATGCAGTTTTAAGATAAATAGTCACTGGGATAAGTTTCATAAGGGTAATATAATTACTTTTTTTTTTGTTTTTTTTTTTTGCGGAAATATAATTTAATTTCAACTATTGTGATGTGATTTTAAGTTATGTGTAATTTTATCTAAATAAAACTTATGTAACTTTTATATATTAGGGTAACTTTTATTTATTTTAGGATAACTTTGGATCATTAATTCATTATAGAGAAACTTTACAACGGATGTACAATAAATTTATTGTACAACCAATTTTTTAAAAAGATTGTCTTAAAAATTTTAAAAAATAATCATCAGATTAATCACTTAGCGGTAGAGATAAATATAGGTTTATTTTTTTTTTTATTTTATATCATATCTTATCCAAGAAAAATTAATGTTACTATATTATTTAAATTTGATAGTACACGGAAAAGAATAAGATAAAAAAAAGACCTATATATGTATAATTAGAATCTAATGAAAATTTATCAAATCATCTCGCTAGATTAAAAATTATCCATCCATAATCGTAAATTGTGTTTTTTTATGCTTATGAAACTAGCTATTAGTATCCAACATCTATAAATTAAAGATTCAAACACCAAAATTTCACATATTCTTTCTCTTAAAAATTAAACAGTCCCACCACAATTTCAGGTATTCTTTCTCTTAATAACTACAGTGGCTTTTTGTTAATAATAAAAACTATGAAGACCGTAATTGCAACATTGTCAATAATTTTGGTGACCCTAAACCTAAACTCTGTTAGCGCAACCTACAACTCTATGATGTAGTATCACTCGGGGCTAAACCCGACTCAAACTCTGACTCTTCCAAGGCGTTGAAGGCGGCTTGGAATTTAGCTTGTGATTCATCAGGCGAGTCTACAATTCATATTCGCGAAGGAGAATTCTTTCTTTGAAAATCCCTTACCTTTTCGGGAAAGGGATGCCAAAGTAGTAAGATTAATTTTGTTGTAAACGGTACCATAGTAGCCCCTAATGATTTTCGGGTGCTTCAAAATTCAAAAACATGGGTGTTATTTGATCACGTCAATGGTGTTACGCTTTCTGGTGGAGTGTTTGACGGTGCAGGAACTAAACTATGGAATTGTAAACGATCTGGAAAAGGAGCATGCCCTCGTGGTGTCGAAGTAAGTTAATTATTTTCTATATGTAAAATTTAATATATATGCGGTTTATATATTGGCATGCATATGTTTTTATATATATATATATATATATATATATATATATATATATATATATATATATATATATAAAGGCATGCATACGTTGTTATATTTGCATCTAGACATAATATGATAAATCAACGCTCAAGGTAAGTAGTATCTACTTTTATTTATTGTTTTTTTTTTCAGGATTTTACTATACATTATAATCAATTGAATATATTCGTATTTAATATCTAACAATTTAAGTTTTCTAAATTCCCAAAACAATGAAATTTTCGTGTTTAATACCTAATATTTTAGGTTTTCTAAATTTAGTATTTAATACTTAATTAACATTTACTTTTTATTAAATTGTAGAATTTAGGTTTTCTAAATTCCCAAAACAATGAAATAAATGGTATAACGTCACTCGATAGTCAATTGTATCATATTGTTATCGATGGTTGTCGAAACGTGAAAGTGCAAGGGGTTACGATTTCCTTCAGGTCATAGCCCAAATACTGATGGCATTCACGTACAATCGTCAACTAATGTTACAATATTGAACTCATCAATTGCTACCGGTGATGATTGTATCTCAATTGGACCGGGAACTAAAAATTTGTGGATTCAAGATATTGCCTGTGGTCCCGGTCATGGCATAAGTATTGGGAATGGCATAAGTATTGGGAGTTTGGGAAAAACTTTATTTGAGCCAAAAGTGTACAATGTCACAGTACAAATGTCGACTTTGAGAATGGGGTGAGAATCAAGTCGTGGGGAAGGCCAAGTGATGGATTTGTAAGCAACGTTGTCTTTCAACCTCTCACGATGGAGAATGCTCGAATCCAATTATTATTGACCAAAAATATTGCCCCAATAACGAGAATTGCCCGGGACAGGTATATTAAACTTTATTTTTGATTAAATTTGAGTTTTATTTTAAATATTTGTAAAATCTTTTAATGATTTTTATTTTTATTTTGTGAATAGGTTTTTGGGGTGAAAATAAGTGACGTGACATATTACGATATTCATGGGTCATTAGCAACCTGAATGTAGCCCAATGCATCGTTGTTCAAACATAAAGTTGAAAAATATAAATTTGACTCACAACAGGTCCAATCTAAAAGTTGTTTTGAGTAATCTACTAATTTAATTTATTTATACTTTTTGATATATTTTTTGGATTAATTTATATTCAAATATTTATATTTATTTATTTTAATTTATTTTTTTTCATTTTTATATAGAATGTGAAAAACATGTTTAGATATACATGTTGCTTTTTAAATTTAAACTCTAAGATTAAATATAATATAATATAATATAATGTATTTATAGATGTCAGATCGGTTCATTACTTCACTATTTTTGCATGTACGGCCTCTAGTTAGTTCTAGAATTGTTTACTAACGTTTACATTTTTGTACACTAATTTTCTCTTTCATACCAAGATTATTCTATTTTGATCAATTGTGGAGTAGTACGTTTTTTGTATGTTATTTATTCGGACACCATTTTGATTACCAGTAAATTAAATTACCAAAGTAGATAAACATAAATTATACGTCGTATCACCATAAAACTTAAAAAAAAAAATAACTGAAACATTCCCGTTGAAATTAAAATTTCACAATAAATAATTATAATGCAATTTCAATTACATTCTTGGAAATCAACATACAAATTAAGCAAGCATCAAAACAACACCTTTTTACAAATATGATAATAACATAAACTCAAGTTTAAAGAGTTGGAGGCATGTAATTACATGCATGCACTTCCAATACTCTACTGCCTTAGCTTGAATATCAATTAGTGGAACGTACACTCTTTCCCTCATACAAAAAAATGGGGGAAGAATTAACGTATAGAACTCGAAAATTTCCGAAATATAGTTCTACAAACACCCTTTAGGTTGAACTAATCCATAGCTTGATCCACCAGCAAAGGCACACATTGAGGAGGCTGGTTTGTTGTTGTTGTAGGTTAACTTAACGTTCTCCAATCTTAGCCCTGTACAATGGTTTTTCGCGCTACAATCAAAATGTATAGCAACCGGAGAAGCCGACGATCCATGTATGTCTTGGTAGCTTATGCCGTGGATTTTTACTCCTGAGACCTGTGAATACATAGATGAAGATTAGCTAACACTTAGGGGTGTCAATTCGGTTAAACAATTCGGGTTTGGGTTGGGTTTATCAGTTTCGGGTTATAACGGGTCGGTTTATAACGGGTTGAAATAATAAGCGGGTCAGTTTGGGTCGGTTTTGAAAATTATCGGGTCAGTTCGGTTTGGTTTTTTTAATTGCAGTTTCTATTCGGATCGGGTCCTTATCGGGTCGGGTTCTAGTCGGTTCGAGTCATAATCAATTTGGGTTGAAGCGGGTCGGTTTGAAAACAGTTCAGGTCTTAATCAGGACGGGTCGTAATAGGTTCGGGTCATAATCAGTTTGGGTTTAACTGGGTCAGTTCGAAAATGGGTTTCGGTTCAAAACAGATTGGGTGAAATCGGGTCCAATCATTATCGTTTCAGGTTATAATCGATTTAGATTGAACTTGGTTGGTTTGAAAACGAATTTACCCAATTTGAAGCGGGTTTCTAATCAAATCATATCGGTTTAAATTGAGTTGGATTATCGGGTCGAATTAGTCAGATAACGGGTAGGAACGAGTCATGTTATAATCAAGTCAAGTCATGAATGAGTTGGGTTTATCGAGTAGTGGGTTGAAACAGATTAGATCATAAACATATTGGGTAACACGTTGTAAATGACTCAGTCATAACGGGTTACAGGTTTTAAACGGTTTGGTCACAACGGGTTACGATTGATAAACGGTTCAGTCACAACGGGTTACGGATTATAACCGGTTCGGTCACAATAGCTTACGGGTTGGAACGATTTAGGTTTATTGGATTTTTATCGTGTTTTAACGGTTTTCGGTTTATAAACAGGTCGGGTTTCTATCGGGTTTTAACGTAATCGGTTTGGGTTGCTTTCAGTTCCGGTTGTAACGGTTTGGCTTGATTACGGGTCGGGTTAGTAACGGTTTGCACAAATTCGGTTCAATTCAGTTTCGGGTTGGAAAAAATTGGGTCGGGTAAGTTTTCGGTTTCCAAAAAACGGGTTTTAAACAGTTCAGTTCCTTTTCGGATTGGTTGGAAACAGTCGGGTCTAACGGTTCAGGTCAGAAACTGACAGCTCTACTAACACTACAAATTATTTAAAAGTGCGTTTGTACATACATATTTGATATATACGAAGTATAATTATTATAAGTCGAAAATTGTACAAAAGTGTAAGGTGTGTTACCTTTCCTGGACAACCTTTGTTTCCGGGGCAATAATTTTGGTCAATAATAATGGGGTTTTGAGCATTGACCATAGTAATATGTTGGAATAATACATCCTTTACAAACCCATTGCTAGGTCTTCCCCAAGATTTAATTCGGACACCGTTTTGGGTACCGGTAAATGTTGCCGTCTTCACTGTTATGTTTTGTACTCCGGGCTCATTCATCTCTTTGCCTAGACTTCCAATGCTGCACAATTATAATTATTTATTTTGGTAAGCAAAATATAGAAAAAAAAATCGTATTATCCACGTGTTTTAGGTTGTGTATTGACAATTATATATTCCAATTGAAAATCGAGGAATATATACCTGATACCATGACCAGGTCCACACTTGATGTTCTCCATCCACATATTCGTGGTTCCGGCGCCAATCGAGATACAATCATCTCCGGTACCAATAGTAGTACTTCGAATTGTTACACTAGTCGACGATTGTACATGAATTCCATCAGTATTAGGACTTGATCCGGAAGCTGAAACTTTCACGCCTTGAACTTTCACATTCTGGCAACCAACAAATACAATGTGGTATAATTGGCTGTTTAGTGAGGTTAATCCTTTGATCGCAATATTTTTGGAGCTGGTAAACCCAATATTCTGCACGCACCATAGAAACAACAATAACATTCAATAAGCTAACTCTAAAAAATAAAGTTATCCCCAAAATGAATAATCATAATTTACAAGTACGACAAGTACATTATACACGTACTAATTATTATCCTTGTGTACCATCATACAGAAAGGAAGGTAGTATATGTACTCAAACAAACCAAATCAAAACCATGTGTTATATTATCTCTGAGATTCTGAATGTTTTTACTATAGTTTACACACAATAAATCACATGGAATTTCAGGTGTATTATGTTAGTTACTTTATCATTATTTTATGGGCTGTTAATTTGTTATGCTATCTCAATAATAATAATAATGTCAATTACGTTATGCTATATATGGTTTATGCTTGATTAACTCCGTGTTGCAACCCCGTGCAATCTGGATCAAGTCACATGTAAGCTACTCCCATTAAACGGTTGTATTAAAACGTCTTAGTCTTAAAGGGGACATAATTATTAAGGAATTGATAATAATTTTTGGAAATGACTTGTATGACCACTTTTAAATTTAATGAAATAAAAATCATTTTTTTAAAAAAAAATAAAAATTGAGGTTATGTTTGCTTATGGGTAATCACCAAATTTTGCATAATTTTTTGTAGAAAATTTTCATTGTTTAGCTACTTTCTTATTGAAGTCTTCATTGACCAATTTACATTTTTTTTTTCATTCGTTAATTTGGTGACCAAATTCATGTAACGTGGACTAATAACTTAGAAGAATGACAATGTAATTAGATTTATACACTTACCGTGAGTCCACTTGGGCATCCGCCTTTGCCGGCCACTTTACAAGCCCATAAACCATCACCTTGACCATCCAATACCCCACCGGAGATCGACACTCCGGTGACGTATTGAAAAGCTAGCCAAGTACCCTTGTTGCCAAGAACTCGATAATTCGAGGGTGCAACAAGGGTGCCTTTAATATCAAAGTTAACACCCTTATTTTTACATCTAGCCCCGTTGAAAGTAATGGCATTACCAATAAAAAATCGGCCTTGGGGCACGTGAATTGTGGGCCGCCCTGTGGATCCACAAGCGGCGGCCCATGCATCCACAAATGCCTTGGTAGAGTCCGTTTTCCCATCGGGTTTCGCCCCGAATGTGGCAACATTGTACAAGGCGCCTCCTACTCCTTTAGCTGCTATAATAAGAGCACAATTCAGGAGAGAAAGTGTAAAGAAAAAAAATGTGAATGTTCTCCCCATTTTAAATTAGAACTTTCTAGAGGGAGAAAATTTAAATTAGAGCTAGTATATGAGTAATTGAGTTTGGGTGTGTTGAGGAGCATTACATGCATTTAAAAGGGTATTTATAGGAATTTGAAGGTAGTTCAAATAACAACATAGGAATATTTATTTTATTTTATTTAGGAGAGAATTTGAAGGGGAGAAATGACGAAAATAGCCTTGGTGGGAGTTGAAAAGTTAGTTAAAGGAAGATGAGAAGATGGTGGGAAAGAGTACAGAGGATCATTACCGAATTACCGTTACATTTTGACGAAAAAGGCCATAACGTAGAGCGCCGTAAAGCAACCTTTCAGTTTTTTTGGTTATTGTGCTAATTAATTATTGTAAGTGTAACCAATTAATCATATCAAATGGGTTATACTAGTTGTCTAGTTGCTTGATCTAATTAGAAAATAGGTTGAACCTGAGTTTGTTGCTAAATTTTATTAGAGGGAAATAAAAATAACATTTTAAATGCAAAAGCTAACGAATGTCCTTAGAGCGTTGGATAAGATAGCTAAAAGTAAAAAGATTAAATTAAAAACATTATTAGTTACACTGAGACGCGTGATTTTATCTTGCATTCCTAAATTAATATCATTTTAGGTAATGTTTTAAATGTTTATCTACCTGGGGGCATTCGTTAGCAAGATTTTATTTTAAATATGTTGTATTCCGTACGATTTCCCCCCACCCCCACCCCTTCCTAATTAAATTGCCTAGCCTGATAACATGTCCTCACTCAACCCTTACCCTCCCGTTCCTTATTTGCATGTGAGAGGTCTTGCCTCGGTAGAACCCTTCTCCTTACCAACAACCCCCCACCCCAAAAAAAATGTCCTCACTCAACCATTATAAACTCGGATACTAATGCTTTTACCTTAGTTTTGGATTTTGTTTTGTATGTTATATAAATCTCTTCTAGACTTGAGGTTAGTAATTAGTAGGAAAGAATAAAGAAAAAGATACTTAAATATGTTCCGGGGCAAGTGTGTTAACCAACAGCCTATTTGCCATTTGCTATGATTCACAAAAACATTCTAGCTCACGCAACAACTAGGGTCCTGAATTATGTGGCTTGGTAAAGAGAACTTGGTACGAAAACAAAGAGAATTAACCAAATGTTTTTGGACCTAATCCTCAAACAATATTGATATAATGTTGTTCTACTATGAAATACGGAGTACCTTTTTAAAAAAATAAATCTCCGTTGATGATTTCACGTTTAACAATGTACATTTTATAAATTAAATATGTAGTAAAATTATGAAAGTATATTTCGGGACAAATATAATAAGATCCCACATAATTATATATTTTCCAACGTATAAATCATAAAAACAATATTAAAATTGTTTGTGAATTGAGGAAAATTCCAGACGGTGTGATTATAAAAAGGTAGAAAGTGTCAAACATATATGCTTCTACCTAACTAACCACATGAGACAATTCGATTACACAATTATCGAAAACAATGTATGTACTTGGGGTAGGGATTCTGTTATCCTTGCCATTTAATCGAGACGTACTACATGGTATGGGTAGTGATTTGGTGGAACACTAAAACCCCTATTCTAAGAAATTGTGATGCTAACAATGAAAGCATTTGCACTTCACAATGAGTATTAACATATACTTCATTAACGGCTTAACGCACGTCAATTAGTACGGAGTATAAGTTAATGATACTCCATTAACACACATTCCAATACATCAAACCTTAAATTAGGAAATTAAAACACGATTAGACAATATACGAGTAAAAAGCATGCCCTATATATCCTAATAGGTTTATAAGATAATACGTTATCTTTAATTATCAAACAACATTGCTAATTAGATGGAATTTAATTAACAAAGCAATGATTGGTCTGGCTAATTTGGTTCATAAACCCTTGATGCATTTAATAATTGATCGTGAAAATGTCAGGGATCTTACTTGTTTAATCATGTAATCACGTTGCCTTGTTCTACGCCAAATTCATTATATTCTAGGGATAAGCCTACCATGTGATTTTTGTTGACCCTCCCTAATTATATTATATATTCATCCAGCTAATTATAACATAAAGTTTTTTTGTAAGGTTATTTCATTATTATTGGCCTAATTATGTGTCAACTTTTTAGTGCAACATTTGATTCGTAAATCTATTTTAAAATTTCACTTTTAAGGGTTTTTGTTATTTATTTATTTAATTATTTAATTTTTTTGTTTTTATTTAATTTTTTATAAATTAATAATCAAAACCCGGCCTGCATGATTACAAATTTACAAAGTTGAAGACATGCAACAGTTGATTCGTAAATCTATTTTAAAATTTCACTTTTAAGGGTTTTTATTTTTTATTTTATTTTTTGTTTTTTATTTTATTTTTAATAAATTAATAATCACAACCCGGCCTGCATGATTACAAATTTACAAAGTTGAAGACATACCTGATTAGGGGATTTTTATCCACCAATCACCGACTGACAAGTGGACCAACCAGGTTCCGCCACGTGTTCTTCATGAAGGCCAACAGGAACCTGCCACGTGTCAATCACAGATACGTCCTCCACGGACCACTTAAGACACGCCACGTGTCCGCCCATGCCAAATGGGAAAACCGGCCATCAAGGCCCAGTCCAGTCTAGAGGCCCGGTCAGCCCTAGGTTTACCTTAAACCTAGAGAGTTGCACGCTTCCCAAGGCTATAAATACTCGATTAATCCTCATTAATCACAGAATCGAATAATCAAGAGATTAAGCAGAGAAGAACAGAGTTATTAACAACCGGCTAATCTCGCTTACGACGCAGATTACCAACACTAAGCACTCTCACCTAGAGAGATCTCATTACTTTAATTTATGTATTAATTACTCCTTAATCAGGTACTAACTTGACCGTTGGAGGCGGAGCTCTCAGGAGTCTCCGTTATTTTGCAGGTACAGGCGTCCGGTTCCAGTCTCGGAATTGTAACTCTCCCGCAGGACATCAGAAAACCCCGAAACAATACCCTTGGCTGCCTACTTTACGTATCAATAATCATATAACTAATATATAAAGCTAAACTTTTAGTCAGCTCACGAAATAGCGACACTTGGTGTTTCAACTTTTCGCCAAGTGTCGCGCCACCGTAAATAGATTTTAATAGGCTTTATACATAAAAATCGCCAAGTGTCGCACCACTTTAGATATATTTGGATAGACTTCATAAGATAAAAAGTTAATTTAGAATAAGATTGTTAGTTTAGAGTTTTATTTTCGATAAAATACAAAATAATAAACTTATAATTAGGCCACAAGACAACATCATTTAGCGTTTTAATTTTTCACGCACCAAGTGTCGTACCACATTGGATAAATATAGATAGACTTTGTGGCAAAAAAAGGTTAATTAAGAATTCTATTTTCAATTAAATTGAATCATAATATAATTTTATCTTAAAAGTACATAAACAACCCGGGCATCGCACGGGGCACAAAACTAGTCATCCATAACTTAATACATACTAAAAGCGAAACTAGCGATGACACATGTCATTCATTAGTTAAAATTTTTCCCTTCAATTTTTCTTTCCTTTTTTTTTTTTAATTTCGTCAATTTTCCAAGAAAAATAATTATAGCCCGTTAATTATATTCTCTTAATGAAATATATATACATATTATATTAAATAATTTTTGTAACATTCTCCAATATTTCTATAATATTTTCACATGCTAATATTACTATTAGGAAAAGCCTTCTATAATAATCTCATGCTAATTTTTTTTTTTAATAATAGTATTTGATGTTTCATTATGTTCCTTAGTTTACTTATGTATTATAATAAAAACCTACGACTAACTCACTCTTTTTTAAAAATTTGATTTTTATATATAGAAAAATAAAGTTAAAGTTAATTAAACTTGTATTAACAAATGTGTATGTCAAAATTGTATCAACAAAATAGGGATATGATAAGGTATATAGTATGGGTTCTAAATAATCAATAACCCCTAATTTATTTATCTATTTATTTTTTCATATTTATAAAGTCTAACGCATCAATAACCTTTACATGCATCATTGTAAAATAATTATAAAAAAAAGGTAAAACATTTTTTTTTTGAAGTTTACAAATGTAATTCTTTGTTAAAATATAATTGTTAAATTAATGTAATAGTTTATTAAATAATTTTATAAAACCCGTGCATGGCACGAGACTTAAACTACTATGAATATATAATCAATAGGAAATAGGAAGCCCCACTGGACTTATCCACTATTTAGATTTATTAGAAGTTAGAACTACCACTTTTTTTTTTCTACCTCCGTTTCATATTAATGTAAACATTTACTACAAATAGTTACTAGTCTTACTACGAGTACATAGGATATATGTGCAATAAATATTTTCTTTCCTTTTTAAGTTATTAATTTTTTTATCTCTCTCTTCTGCACATATGTATGTATTTTTCTGTGTCCGTTTAAAAATTTGTTTAAGAGTCTATATCAAGGCCTTTGTTACACTACTTACACATAATATGTAACGGAAGTATTGAGTAATGATAAATGACAAAGCTAAGCCTTAGTGGAAATTGGAAACCGTCTTGTTGTTAGTGTTGTTGCTACATAAAGTAATCTTGGGGACTGATACTTATAAGATCGAATCAAAGACGAGAGAATTGCACGATTAAAGTTTTTGGGGGCTATTTTTGTTTCTTGAGGAACCAATTTGAGCTTCTAATTCACAAAAAAAAATAAGATATATACCTCAGTTTGTTTGCTATGAAATGACACTTTCCAATTCATCATACTTTCCGTCATTTAATTAATTGGTAGTGACTTATAATGAAAATTTATGAGAGGAAAAAAAAAAAGCAAAAATTTTGATGGTAGTAACTGAAAATAAATTTACTCCATGATTATCTCTCATAGAGTTGACTTAATTAATTCCAAAATTAATTATACTCCTTTCATCCCATTTTAATTTGTTCGGTCTTTTAAATGCACCTTTGAGACTTTGATCATCAATATCTTAATTATATACTACGTCCGCAATAAAGGATTTTTTTTTATATTTCACAAATAAAACCACTTTATTAATTTGTTTCAACTAATACTTAACAGCCCCTCAAAAAAAAAAAAAAAACCCTAATACTTAACAGAGGCCGTACCATAATACGTAGTATTAACAAAAAATATAAAGATATGATACTATAAAACTACACATGTTGAGACGAATCCAACACTATCTCATATGACTTTTATTTATTTATTTATTTATATTTGGTCAAATTTTAAAAGTTTGACTATAAAATAGTCAAAATGGGACTATCTTTGTAATCAAAGTAAATGTAAACCTTCTAACCTAGAATTACGCCATCAACTATTGTGTAAAATGGGACTATCAAGAAATATATCTAATTTCAGATAGGACTACTCCAATACCATGGACATTAAGCATTAGTCATCTTGTGTAAAATTCTAATAATGTATGTTGTACACCAAACAACCAAGACTATTTTGTTTTTCCATTAATTTGTTCACACGTTATCGGCTTCATTCCTTTTTCTTAATGACTTTTTAACAATAATAATAGATGTACATTTACACATTATAGATTGAGAAGGACCTAAGAAAGCCAAGGATTCAAAGTGTGAATGTAACCATAAACCAATACCGAAATTTATGGAGAAACACGATGGATTTGTTTATGATTCTATTTAAATTTAATTATTTGATAACAGAAAAAAAAGGTCAAGTAATTCACTTATTATTATAATCTAATAATTAAGGCTTAATTTTATAATATCAAAATTACTAGCAAAGTCGCACAAGCTGCCCGTACATAAGGATACTACATTCCCTTGTTTCTTTCTTTCATTACGGAGGAACTCCAACTCACATGGGATTTAATGATAATGTTATTCTCAATTATTGGTTAATTAATCTCTAAGCCTTCCAATGATTACCATCTCACATGATCAACCATTTCTAATCATCTTTTTGGATTACTAAGCAAAAGATTTGAAATAACTAATTACTAATCTAATCAATCAGTGTCTCCAAGCAAGAAATATTTTCCCTCCGTGATCCAATCCCTTAATTGAACAAGGAAGATGTGCGTCTGAACAAAACTTTGTCTATCTAGTGGATAATCAACCCATAAGAGACACAAATAAATCATAAACGAAATTTGATTCAATAATATAATTAAATTTTATCATCTATTTGTGTGGGCGGATTATCCAATTGATAACAGTAGCGTAACATGAACTCCGAAGATGTACAATTTTAACTTATTTCATACGGAGTAATTTCTATTTTTTTTAAAAAAAAAAAACATTGTTTTTTTTTAAAATCTTAAAATTTCAACTCAAATACTTTAACCCACTAGTTTAACTAGCAGATGTCATATACTCATAATGTTCCCTTCAGGATGTGTCATGTGACCTCTGTCATTCAGACTCGGAGGATTTACGACATCTCTTTAGAATGTGCTCTAATGCACGCTCAGTTTGGAGGAGTGGATGCCTTGGTATCCGCTCATAATTTAATGGAGACCTTTCTCTTTCGGATTGGATCCAAGAATATATCCGACTTTTTATTAGTCAGGATGGGTCTTCCCGTGCTCGCTTAGGTACCTTCGTCGGCACGCTCTGGAGTTTATGATTATGTCGGAACTTTAGAATCTTTAGGGATTCTTCTGCTGCCAGGCCCTTTGATTCACAGCTCGCGAAGGTCATGGACACTCATTCAGCATTTGTTTCATCAGTAGACTCAGTGCCTCTCCTCCGCCTGGTTTTTACACAGCTCAGCTTGGTCTGAGTAACCATGGGAATACGTTACTCTCACTACAAATTGATGGCGCTTGGTTTCAAGACTCTCTTCATGCAGGGATGGGCTGGTGCTTGGATAATGATGACCCGTTGGATGATAGGATCATAGGAGGTAGCAACTTTGGGGTGTGTAACTCAGCATTACATGCAGAGGCTCTTACGTGCTTGTATGGCCTCCAATGGGCCTCTGTTCGAAGTTATCCTTCTATCACGGTTTTTACGGACTTATATAATCTTGTCACCCTTCTTCGGGGGGACGGTCATGGTAATGTGGCTCTCCTCTGGCTCATTTGCAAGATTCGGTTACTTGGTTTAACCTTTCAGTACTGCAGCATACATAAGGCGGATCATTCGCGCGTTCATCAAGCTCATCAAATTGCCAGGGAAGTGGCGGTTAATTTTATTTGCTTTAGTATTAGTTTGTAGTCTCTTTTTATTATTTGTCAAAAAATAAATAAATAAATAATGTTCCCTTCTCTCATAAAAGTTAGCCTCCCTTGGTGATTTTTTTTATAAAAAAAATTAAATTGATTTTTGTGAGTGGAAAGCTCCAATTTTGTTATTTTTGTAGTATAATCTTTAGATTTGTTGTTTCATAGGTTAATTTAATATTTTTCTTCCTTTCAATAAAAAGGTTTCTCTCATCATTATTAAGATGACTTCATATAAACAACGCACTCTTTATAAGAGAGAAACCGTAATCCGTAAATCTAATTCTAGAAAGGAAGAATATTATTGTTGATGATCTAGGACATCAAATTGAAGGACCTATCCCAGCTCTCATTTCTAACATCAAATATTAAGGATGTTGAGTTATGAAATGCAATTTTGACAGGAATATATTACCATATCGTGAAAACATTGTTGGGATAAAGGAAGAAAAATGGAATGTTGACCTTGGTACCGACGCCCCGATCGGGCAAGATCTGCCTAATCGGGTGCGAGAGTAAAGATGATCTTCATCTTTTGTTCGCCCTGTCGGGCGCGCCACCAAACAGAGCTCTTAGGTGACCGTTGGAAGTTCCAACTCTTTCTCTTCCTCTTCTCTTTGTAACTTCTTCTTAACTCTCAATTAATGGGAGGTTTAAGGGGTTGTTAATATGCCTTAATTTCTGAGTTTATCACCCTTATTGATGTTGGAGATTCTTCTATGTTCTTTCATATTCTTTCATCCATCATTATAAATAGAAGAATCATTTTTCTGATTTTGACATACTTGAACATAATCTTTAAACACAAGCTTAAACACATACTCTATATTGACCATAAGTTACTTGGTGCCAATGCAACCATCCACCCAAAAGTGCCTTTGTGTGGAAGTGGTGTGTTAACCTTAGAGAACGTGCCGATGAATACAATTGTGCACCCCGATGCGCCGGAATTTTGTTTTCAAGTCAGCGAATTTGCTTCACGACACACCGTACTCTTTCCATTGTCATAAGATCAACTTTTCGATCTTATTATTTTAATTTCATTGTAGCCTTGAAAATACTTCTTATATTACAACAAACATTGTATATAACAGCCCATTAATTGCCCTAGTAGGAAATTTGCCAGAACAAAAAAGGATTAAAAGTCAAAAGGTGAAATTTCTCTTTTCACCGTACCGGAACATAATATAAAACCAAAACCCATAACAAAAATTTATGATGCATTTATCTTTCTTAGATAATTAACGCTTTATTTGGATAACAATGTAGAAATAGATAAGAAGGGGAGGGGAAGAGGAGGAGGGGAGAGAAATGGAAAGTTTCATTTCCTCTCCAAATCTCTCCAATTTTTCTCCAATTTTTGATAGATTATACGGAGTACTTAGTAATTAAAAAAGGAAAATGGATTCCTCATTTCCTCCCTCCCTCTCCCCTTCCTTCCCTCAATAATCCTTTATCCAATTTAAAGGAAACAATCCCCCTTCTGCAATCTTCTCTCCCTTTTCTTCCATTTCCTTGCATACATAACACTATTAAATTCCCACGAAAAATTAATAAATTGGGGGAAAAAAAAACCAAAAAAAAAAAATTTAATAGCATCATATGCAAATATTATCTTGAAACATGTACCAAAATCAAGCATAAGAATTGGTTTTCTCCTCCATCTCAAATAAATTGAACCTAAAAGTTCCCTCCCAACCCACATTTCTTTTTTCTTATCTAGTCTCTTTCACTCACTTGTTAACTTGTTACTCAGACTGCTCTTGGTGGGATCTCAAGAGTAACACCAGCTTGAATCTGTCCCCAACCGATGAGTCGCCAGTGCTTTTCAACCCGGCGACTCAGGGCAATCTTCTCTCCTTTGCTTGTGCAAACCGGAGATGTAAGTTGCAATTTTGCCAAATGCACTTCTTGTTTGACAGCAATTACACGAGCACCAGTCGACATGGAACCAATGTTCAACATAAGAACCTCTCCTCTGCTCAGTTTCGATACCCTTCCCTGTTTCTCAGTCCCCTTTGTTTTCGCACCAATCAGCCGCCAAAGCAAGAAGAAATTCACCTGTTTGTATGTACCATCAGTAGGGAGCTCAGAAACCAAAATAACTATTAACATACTGAAAAATAAATAGTACTAAAATTACCTCTAGTTCGATGTAAACATCTGGAAGAGATCCAACCTCTCCGAGTACCTGACCTACCAATCTATCAGCTCGGGTTAAAGTCGGATCCATGGTTGTTCCAACCCCAATCAGACCTCCTGGGACAGCAAATTGTAACTGATTCTGCTCAGCATATAAAGAAACAATCCTCGAGTATATGGGTGTGCACGTAATGTTGCCTCTTTCATCCTTCACTATGATTCCAGGCCGTACCTCGATTTCTTGGTTAACCCTCAAGACACCCTGCATTCAAAACAACATATAATGAGAACATTTCTCAAAGTATAACATATACCAAGTATGATGTATTACAAATATTAAAGAAACAGTGAGATGCAGAAATGGAAACTTTAGCTAACAGCTGATTATACAGCAAATCCCATGAAATTTGTTACGATTACTAGAAAGACAGGAACCATTAAGATACTTCCACCAGCAACACCGCCATGTATATCATCAACCTCGTACCCTGGCTTGTTAACATCAAAAGATCGGATCAAGATCATAGTTGGTGGTGAGACAAAAATTTTCTTAGGAATAGGAATCTTTTTGACAATGTATTCACAAACAACATCGATGTTGTACTTCAATTGGGCAGAAACTGGAATCACAGGGACTCCTTCAGCAGCAGTTCCCTGAAGAAAACAAGGGGTGCTTCAGAAACATGCTTCAGCATCTCATCAAAGGAATTTGGACGATTGCATTGTCAGCTGGTTCACCATTCGAAACAAGTTACCTGAATAAATTTCTGAACGGATTCATGTTGGTTTAGAGCAGCATTTTCTTGGATGAGATCAACCTTATTTTGGAGGATGATAATATGCTTAAGTTGCATGATATCAATTGCAGCAAGATGCTCAGAAGTCTGAGGTTGGGGGCAGCTCTCTTTAGCAGCGATAAGAAGTAAAGCTCCATCCATAATAGCAGCTCCATTAAGCATAGTAGCCATAAGAATATCATGACCCTGTCAAAAAGAATTTGAAACGTAAACATTGTGACAAACACGACAAATCCAACAAGAACTCACATGAGTCGTACCTTAAACACAAACCCTTTTAATCGATGATATGTATCAGCAGGGTCAACAACAACAAAAAGAACAGAGTTTATAGATGAAAATGTGTGAAAACATGCAAAGAAAACACAACCCACCCAAGCAGCCAAGCTAGATTGGGTAAGATGAAAATAACTTGATTATTTCTACACAAATAATGATCAAAGTACCAATATAAAAAGCATACAGCTAAATCAGGTATAATAGAAATCAAGGGCTGTTAGTTGCAGCAGCAGTAGATTACCGGACAATCAACAAAGGAAACATGTCTCAGAAGCTTCATCCTAGCATTCTCAAATCCAGGTACATCACACAAGGGGGTGTCTTCTTTTCCGCTTCCATATGCCCTGCCAAAGAAAAAGTACAAAATTGCAACACATGAGCTCAACTTCAGGACATATTCATCTTCAATGAGCAGTTCTACAGGTGCTAGAACAAGAATCTAGCATAAGCATAATTGTCGAGTTATTAAGCTCAACTCAGTAGATCATTAGGCATAACAGATCGACAACATACTTGTAGCACATTGGTCGTGGGCACTGATCATCATCACACTTATAAATCTTGGCATTTGCATAGCCAAGTTTGATAGTGATGTTACGTTCCAGTTCATTCTTAAAGCGTACAGTCTGCATAAAAGAAATACGAAGTATATATAAGAGATCTCTTCAGCTATAAAAAACACATACAAAAAAAAATCTTCCCAAACCAAACACGAATATCTGTTCCCAAATCCCAAACCATACCAATTCAAGGACTAAAGAGATATGCAGCAACGAGTTGAAACACGAGTTGGTTCCACCGTCTGGTTGTATTCAGATCACTTTCTCAAATATCTCATAAGAAATCAAAAACAAAAAGTGTTCATGTATATAGAATTTTGGCAAAAATCACCTGAACACCCGATATAGCCTTCACAACTGTAGATTTTCCGTGTGCCACATGACCAATAGTTCCTACGAAATATAATCAAGGGAATACATATTTCAAATGTATCTAAGAAAAACAATGATCCTAATTTAAATCTATTTACATTGGTGAATAATTCGTAAAATACCAATGTTAATTGTAGCTTGTCTAGAAATAACTTCAGGCGATAGAGGATGTAATTTTGTCACGTCTAACTTGTTCAAGTCTTGCTCCATCAATCCTTTGCGTGCCATCTTAATCGCGGTAGTCTAAGCTTCCCTCCCTAAAAACTAAATATTGAGCAGATTAAGTCAAGTCCTCAACTCGCTATTTATCCAAAAACTAACCATGTGTATATAAGAGACTCAAACTGTAGTTTAAAAAAAAAAAGGATTTTGGTCACTAATATAAGATTATTGATTTCTTTTGAAAAAATATATATCAGATTATTGATTCAAAAAGGAATGGGATTAGCTAAAGAAAACTTTGCCACGCCAAATTAAACATCCATGTTAATAATTTTATCTATAATAATGCAAACATCAATATAATATTACACCATAATACTAAATCCTCCCAAATTAAGATATACGTACAAGATTAATAATGTAAAGAACAATTCTTGAAATAAGGTGAACTAAGATAGAAACTAAACATACATTCACAGCATGAAGAACGATAAATAAATCCAAGTTAGATATAATTGCTAATAATATTTACCTAATAATTAATTACCCATACAAAACTCATAAACCCCATAATCAGAAATAATGAGTAGAACACATACGAAAATTGAAATCAGCGTATGAATTACAAGAACAAATAAAATGACTTCAAATATGAGAAATTAAAGGGAAAAGGAGATTACTAACCTTAAAAATCAGAGAGATCGGAAGGTTTTGCCGGTAGAATGATGAGTGAGGGTGGGAGAAACTACTTGGGTGTAGGTACAACACTAGGGTTAAATACTTATGCATCGTGCATGGCCAAATAATCCAAGTAATTACACGATTCCTTTGACTGACTAACATACATATCACCTACGATATATGGACACTTCACACTGTCCTACTATGATAGGGTGAGACACCTAAATATCATGTCAGTTATTTTTTATTTATTCGGACACTTCGACATGGACTGTGTCCTACTATGATACTCTGAATCATTTTGAAACCAAGGCTTTGTCATTTGAAAATTAAAGTAAGAGGCCAACGAATAATACCAGTGTCTTCACATCTGAACATTAAGTGTGAACTTTTTATATTAAGATCTTGCTAATGTGATAAGGGGAAAGAGAATTTGTGGAATTAGTAGGTAAAATTTGAGTCCATAGGCTATATTAATGCAATATGTAAAAGTTAAGTAGTTCTATAAGATTGGTTTACCAATGCTATATGGAGGAGTAGAAGGCAAGAAGAGAACATTGAAAACTGATACAACCAAAAACTTGTATTGCTGAAGACCAGTGAATTTATAGTAACAATACAACTCCGTAATAAATAATAGTACAAGGCTGTTTTTGCGACTTAATAGAAGAAAGCCTACAGAGTACAGACTAATCTTATAGTGAACCAAAAATAAAAAGGACTAATTTTTGGGCAATTAAAACAAGATTTATTACCAAAAGACAGAAGAACACCAGTAGAACAAAGCCACATGAAGCAAACAAAGGTCAGCTCAAACCAGGCTAAGATACAATAAGCTGCTTCTGGACAGCATTAGCGCTATAAGCTACTGTATAGGCTATTCTACGAAAAACAGTAGCAGTGTCTTCATAATTACTCGGGAAAATTTTCTTGTTTCGTTGCAAACTACACTTGGTAAAAAGGCTAATTCAAGATATTTAGAGCTTGATATGGAAATAATCCGGGTCAAAGTGGTGTAACCTCACATAACCATCTTCACCTCCACTTGCAAAGCTGCATAACACAACAGAAATACTTTAGAAAATCTTCCATGAACCCTTATGATAACTTCCAAAGGATAAAGAAAAACTGGTGAATAAAAAGCACTAAATATGGATGTAATCTAGCGAGATTATTTACCTTTTACCATCAGGATTGAACGCCAAGGCATTTATAGGCCCGAAATGCCCCTTAACACCTCCAATTTCTGCCGTGAGGATCTATAATCAAAATAATACAAATTAATAACTAAGGAAATTCTTAAATTCAGCAAGTTACAGTGAATATTGATTTTTTTCTTTGCAACCAATACCATAAAGTAATTGCTAAATTTACTAGGAAAAAAAAACCTCTAAAATAGAGAAGTTAGGTGTTCAAGTTTTTGGTTTGCAAAAAGCCTTGAGACATGTTTGCTACAAGTCTGCTGAGAGGTGTTGGATACCAGTTCAAAAGAAATATGATGTGCATTGCTAAATTTACTATGCAAAAAAAGCTCTATAATAGAAAACTTAGGTGTTTGTTTTGCAAAAGCCTTGACATGTGTTTGCTACAAGTCTACTGAGAGGTGTTAGGTGCCATTTCAAATATATATGAAGTGCAATGCTTAAGCTGATAACATACTAATATATCATGTAATCTTGATTGACTATGGAAAAATATGTAAAATAAAGCATATTTATACCACAGCCATGAGCATTGGGGAGATTACATGCTCTTTCTTTGACCAGTTATGCATTACATGAAGAAATCGACATAAAAATGGAACAAGTCTTTACGAATTAAGTTTATACTATTTATGGACAGAATGCAATTGAGTAAGCTGATAAGTCCTTTCAGTCCCATATTTACCCATTCATACTAATAGCAAAATCAATATTTCATTCACATAAAATTATTTTTGTAATTTACCTTATCATAGAATTTTGCCTCAAACTTTCCTGCACGATGATCTGTAGTTGTCACATGTGATGCCTCCTGACCACCTCCGAGCACAACCTATAGAAAACAGCACAGTTCAAACAATGTGAAGTAGCCTAACAATAGGAATATATGAGAATATTACAGAATACACAGACATAAAGCTCTGCTGCACCACATGCACAATTAGAGGTATCCTTTATTATCATCATCACCCCTAATACCTCTTCTAAAAAGGTTTTAACCTCAAGCAGGATAACTAAAGTCAGATATAAGCACTCATAATCTGTATACCACTTCACAATAAATAATAATTGCACATAACTGAGTCACTTAAATATGTCCCATCACAACAAAAACTAAATACATCAAACACATTATGTTATCCTACCCTTGATATCACACACAAATCTCTCACTAATCATGATTCGTGATGACAGTTGAATTATTGGTTTGGGGATATACAAGATGAAAGAGACATAGATGTTGATCCAGTTGAGCTTAAAACTCATCAAACAGCCTATAGTGAAAAAAATTCAAATACCAAATTTGTTACCAAAGGAAAATTTCCATGGGAAAACTGGAGCAGCACAGATATAGAAACCACACAGCAAGTAAAACTGGCAACAACAAATTAAAAAAAAAAAAAAAGTAAAAAAAAAAAAGTAAAATTAAAATTAAAAATCAAGTAACATACGTGGTCCAGAAGGGGAGACATGGTAACAGCATTCACAGGTTGTTCTGTACCGTAGGTTTTGATAAGTGTTAAAGTTCTTGTGTCCCAGAGCTGAAGAAAGAAAAAAAATCATGTTAGTACAAAAGGAACCACAAATCAACACTACCTACTAATTTAATAATTATACAACCTTAGCTGATTTATCCAGCGAACCAGTGAGGAAATGTGACTTGTCTGCAGATAGACAAAGTGATGTTATTGGTTTTTTGTGACCATTTTCATGGTCCTTTGTTGACATTATCTCTTCGCCTGTCTGCAAATTGAAGTATTAAAATTAAACCACCAAACATGGCAAAAGCAGAAAAAAGAACCCCAAACATATGTAAAACATATAACAGGATTAAAAAGTGCACTGTTTTTTCATGAAATTCCAAGACTCTAGGCTATCTGTATACAAGTATATAACAAACTACAACAAAATGAAATGATATAATTGGTACTGCTACTTACCGTAGGATCCCATACGCGAATGATAGCATCCTCACCACAGCTAATAATAGTCTTGTTCAGAGGCCCCCAAACAGCTCTATTAATTCTTCCATTTGGGCCCCTCATAACAAGAACAGCTTCATCACTCTCTGCAAATCAAAATGAACAATGATGTCATCTTCAGAAGCAGATATCGAGAAATAAAGTGAGGGGATTAAAAGTGTGATTATACGCACACAAATAAGATATAGATAAAGAAGCAAAAACCAAAAGCCTACAAAATAAGAGAAGGTGTGGGGTGACGAGCCCACAAGGCTAAGCCTATTTAATGAATTCCTCACATGATATGAGAAGTAATGTTTACTGAAAAACAGAAAGCCTACATGTTGCTTATAAAAAAAAGGCTGCCTCTCACATTCTCTACATAGTAAGCAAACATGATCATCTGAAATGGGAACAGGGTGCATCGTACAATGTGAGGCCACAAGATATCCTATATCAACCTTTTGATAGTGAAGAAAACAAATGTGACCTACATGCAAAAGACATCGCTAAATGTGTGATGAAATACAACGATTCCATAGTGTATTCCAGATAGCAAGTGGAGAAATAAAATCAAACATAAATTGCAGAACAACAATCTCGCATGCCAGCAAGAAAGAAAGAGCATGAAATTTGTGCATTGTCTCATATCCAAGTTCAATTAAGCATATCAGGATGATATATTGTAACTCCTAAATTCCTTCAAGTATCAGTAGTCACATAAATTACAGATTGAAAGTTGCATTTATCCTTAGTGAATTTAAGACCGCACAATATAGGGCAAAACTTAGCAACAACTGAAGGACTGCAAAACATTTGGGGGCTTGTTTGTACATTAGTTCCGAGACTTCAGCTTGACAAGTTGAGCTAATCTAAGTTATTAAAAAAATCTAAGTACCATTCAATGTGAAGATAATTCTGTTCAGCTAAAAAAAAGTATCCCAAACCTCCTAAATAAAAAAATGTAAATCAAAAAATAATTACATGCTTGCTAAAAGTAGATAATGCCCCCAAAGCATCATCTGCCAAGATTACATATCTCATAAACAAAAGACGCCTAAGTCCTATTAACATTCTTAAAAGTAGTAGTTGTTACTAGCAATTAGATGTATTAAATGCAAAAGTAGATGTAAGATGTTGAGATGTTAGATCAACAGCTCAAAAATAAGTGTCGGGTAAAATTAGATTCCCAATTGTTAGGAATAAACAAAAAAGAAAAAAGAAAAAGAAACACTAATTTCTACCTCTAAAAGCAACATCTACCAATTCAAAGCTTTAAAGCTACAAATTCTAACTATTCCAAAGCACTGTTTGTAGAAGGTACCTCCAACTCTACAATACCAGCCCCTAAAACTTGAAAATCTACGAATAAAATTGCTTCCAAACACAACCTTAGTTTCTTTCTTTCCAAAGAAGGGTGGAATGGGTTCAGAGTTTCAGACAAACAGTATACAAAATAAAGCTTGCGAGTGAAATAAATGGTAGTTAAAAATAAACACAACAAAAAACATTGCTAAGCCAGAAGTGATGGCCAAGAAGTCCAGAAAATCAAAAACATAAAGACAGACTTACGTTCATCATCGTCTTCTGCAATGCGATATACATGAATCGCAGATGTCTTCTCCATGAAAGGGTCAGTAGTGATAACGACTAATTTATCACCAATTGAAAAGTCCACTGACCTCGCAGGAGAGTCAAACTTGAAAGTATGCAATTCCTCTCCCTTTTTGACATCCCAGAGCTTTACAGTCTGGTCTGCACTTCCGGTAATTAGGCGGGAAGAATCCCCTGAAAGAAGAGAAGTCATCAGTTTAGGGCACAAATTCATAATTTTAAACAAGTGTAGGTACTTTAGATATATTCATAATGAAATCAAATCCACATTTTATAATAGCTCTTTAAAGAAAGATTTAGGATCATTGGAAGTTTGCTCAACATTCAGTAAACAGCCCCAAGTTTCAGTTATACCAAGACAATACGAAGTTTAACAATAACCTAAAAAGGGAAATCTATAATAATGTCATATCTATGAAACAGAATTATTATAAGGTTTAAATGAAAAATTCCTATACAACCCACTCCAAATTCCTCCTTCCAACTCGGCAATTAACCAACATTAAAGAAATCACAAACCACCCCCCTCCTCCTCATTTATAAATACACTTCATCCCCTATCTTCATCCTCTTTTCCGCATGGAATTCTTTCTCTGCACTACAGTCCATATACAACTACCCCAAATTCAAAAAACTTTCGAAGGAAAGGCCTTCCCAAAAAAAAAAAAAAGATCATAAACTTTTTCTCAAATGTTCATCCATGATACTTATCTCAGAACAAATACAACTTCAAAGAACCTAAAGTTACCAGGGTTAAACCAAACTTGAGATAATTCAGAATTTACAACAAATTGAATTTATCCAGTAGCAAACTTGCAATAATGCAGTGAATAAAACAAGTTTCAACTGCGAGACACATGTTAAATGCAGAACAGCTCTCTGTAACACTTTAAAAGAGAACAAATCAGAACCTTCATCGAATCCTCTTCCTATACCCCTTATCTTCCTTTGTCTTCTCTGGACTCTCCTCTATACCACTTTAAAAGAGAAAAAATCAGAACCTTTCTCGAATCCTCCCTATACCACTTATCTTCCTTTGTCTTCTCTGGACTCTCCAGCAAACATCGCCATCAACCATATCCTTCTCTAAACTTCCATGTAGTATTAACAAACTTAACGTTACCTACATAATAACAATCATCCAAATCACCCCAATACCAACTTCATAACGAAAGTTACAAAACTATCAATATGCTAAAAATATTCTATCTTTATATCTTAATCGCCCAAAGGCGGCTGCTTTCACTATACACAAATGTATCAATGATCAACAAAACCAGAATAGCCGTGACCTTATTTTTAACATACACAGCATCAACATACCCTAATTATTAATCAAACAAAAAAACCAATACAATTCAGTCAAATAAACACTATTTGAGCTCAAAAGTAAAAGAATTTAGACAGAAAAGTTATAGAGCAATACAAGAGATGTCGCAGGACCAGACCGCGCCATTGTGTCCCCGATAGGTACCGAGCCGTTCACCATTGTCGGCGAACCATACCGTAGGATTATGGTCCTTTGCGCATGAAAAGAGAAGGTCACCGTCTCGATTGTACTTCAAGAATGTTAGAGGCCTTTCATGGCCCTTCATCAAAATTGGCCTCATATTTTTAACTACAAAATTAACAAATTAGCAAACAAATTAGACTCATTTTATCAAATTAGGGTACAAAAATAATACTTGGTATAAATTCTTCTCGCTTATGAATATCAACGTAAATTGCCCAAAGCAGCAAATTGGATTGTTATAGTATTTCATAAATTGAGAAATTATAAACAAAAATAGTTAAAAAATCTACCTTTTAAGAACCCTAGATTGACTAAACTAACAATTGAATCAACAATAGAGTAAAACAAAACCCTAGATTGTGAAATTGATAAGATGATTACTAAAAGAACAACAATTTACCTTAGAAGCTGCTTAGAACGAATAGTTTGTAATGGAGAACGTCAAAGTGCGAATATGCGAGGTTGAGTGCGCTTCAATGGAGAGACTGAGAGAGAGAAAGAGAAAGAGAGAGAGGAGACCCGTTATTAAAAGCCCTAACCTGCCCCAATTATAAATGGGTCAGATCCGTTTAATAAATAACTGGGCTGCGTCTTAATACCATCACCCAAGCGGGCTGGGCTTTATAATGATTTTAAACGAAATATAAACCTCACCTCTCTTATTTTTGACCAGTATCCAACCCGTTGACCTAAATTGACAAGTTTAGGCGCATGTAGAGACTACGAGATAGAGAAATACTTCTATTATTGACTAAAAGAAAAGGTGATACATCTAACTCAAAACTTTTCTTTTATAGAAAGTGATGAATATTAAAATTCAAAGGAGTATATGAGATCTCCAATCAATATACTTACTTACTATATATATACTAAAAGACACACCAGCAGTGACATGTGTCATCTCCTGGTGTGTCCTTAGTTATTATTTTTTTTATATAAAAAACTATTAATTAAGGAAATAAATCAATTTAAAAAATAATATTATTTGTTGCACACATTTCATATTAATGTAGTATATTTAAAATAAAAAGATTTCACAAATCTTTCTAAACAAAAAATTGACAATTATAAACCAAAAAATATATTCTTAAAAATATTTTGTGATCTGTTTTACAACCAAAAAAAATTGCTGTGATGTTTTGCCTACTTTTATTTTAATTGTGTATTAGAATCTACATTTAAAATTTAACATATCACATACTTTTATTATTCCTCGACTAATTTATGATTATAATATTAGTCTATCAATAATCTATGACAATCACGGTGCATGGCACATGATCTAACCTAGTGATATACAAAAGAGACTTGCTGATTATAAATTAAATAAAATTGCAAGCATGTAGCTTACCATTGGAATGAAACCATAGATAGAGCTTGATTAAGCTACCATCCTCAAACAAGTTACGTTGCTTAGTTTTTCATATTTGTAGCTTATTATCAAAGATGGTCATGTGCTCTAATTATCGACAAAGTAGTAATTTGAGGGGAAAATGAGTAAGGGCATGTTCTCTTCAAATTATTTTCAGGTTCAGCTCAGTTCAATCCAATTCTTAATTTCTTCTTACATAAAATATTCAATTCAATTCTTAATTTCCTTATCGCATTAAATATTCAGTTCAGCTCAGTTCAGTCAATCAAAACAGACCTTATGTGGAATCTTGATGGTGTTAGGGCATGTTCTCTTCAAATTATTTTCATTTAAGTTCAGTTCCAATCAGTTCAGTTCAGTTCTTAATTTCATTCTCTCATAAAATATTCAATTCAGTTCCAATCAGTTCAATCCGGTTTTTAATTTCCTTCTCTCATAAATATTCAATTCAGTTCAGTAGAGGACCTTAATGGTATATAAATCTTTTTTTTTCTTTATCATTATATATCCGTCACCTCATGATAAACTTGAATTTTTATTCATGTAATGTAGAGCTTGCAAAAGCTAACATAAAACAACAACACGTTTCATATTTTAAACTGGACATCAACAAAAATTGATTTGACGTCAAGGGTTTTTAACATACAAAGTACATTTAATTGTTAATTCTAAAAATTACAATACTAGATGTAAGCTTGTGCGATGTACGGTATTTTTAAAATTATTTTTTTAAAAAAAGATAATTTTTGTATAAAAATTGATTGAAATTTTATGTAATTTATAATGCGACATTATTAAGATATTTTTTTAACAAATAATTAAAATAGTAAATCATGATTAGTATTTTTGTAACCTATGTGGAACATAAAATCAAATCCTCAAATAATTAAATCCTAAATCGTGATTAGTATTATAATATTTTTAGTAAATAATTTAAAAACTCTCACATAATTTAACACGATAAAAAGGAATGACATGATCACATGATGTTCAACTTTTAAAAAAAGTTTCTTTGCCTATGAAAGTTAACGTTTATTAGTGTGGGATCGACATTAGATGAGTTTATATAGGATTGAAAATTGTTAAATTTAAAGTGATCATAAAGTTTTAACATTAGAGATGATAAATTAAGAGAAAAGGATTTTCAAAGGTTTTTTATTTATTTTTGTATCTAATCCAAAACTAATATATTCTTTTTAATTGAACATGGTTTTTTTAATTAGTTTATTTTTATTAAACACTTCTCGTATTTCATTATTTTCTTCATCTAATCCATTTTTTAAACAGATTACTAATTAAATGTGAATATCATTTTTAAGTTTATTAGTTTTTTTTTATTATTTTTATTAAATATATGATGTATGTTATATTATAACCAATTTCCATATGTTTCAATCTAATCCAAATAAAATTGAATACTTTTTTAATTTTAATTGAATGTGGTTTTCATAATTTTCAATTTATTAGTTTCTTTAAAAAAAAAAATTATATATAGTGACATGGAAATCCTTGTCTTAATTTTTGTATATTTTTCTTGTGATCTCTTAACCTCTTACTTTTTTTTTTTTTTGAGGAAATCTTACATTTTTTTTTGGCTGGAACCTAACCTCTTAGATTTCTTTAATTTAAAATTTTGACTAAAATTTATTTTCTGGTATGTCAAATAGCCTAAAAAAATGACCCTTTATATTCAAATATATTAGATTAAATTTCATTTGTAGATGTCAGATGACTTTTTATTAATGAATTGATTTGTTAAAAAAAAATAAAAAATTAGGATGGCCGAGGTATATGATGGAGTATCTTATATTGTTTGGGTCCAGCACCACTGAAGGTCTGAATCACGTAGACCACTATTGACTTGTGTAGTGGACGATTATTCATAATCTAGAACATCTTTATTAACCCCAACAAATTGTCAACTCCCTTCACGCACAATTTCTTTAATTCAATCATCTTCTTCTTAATTCCAAGCTACAAATTAATTCCCAGGTATGCTGATGATCACAACCCCAATTCAATAATCTTTACATGTTTGATTTTTTTGGGTGTTTACGATCATTTTCTTTATTTAAGTGTTTTGCTTTCTGGGTGTGTTCTAAGTTTGTGGTGTCCAGTGTCCTGCAATTCATTTCATTTTTCATTGCTTATTTTGATTTTTATATCATAAAGTTGCGATTATTTCATTATTAAGATTACTGGGTACTTGTTAATGGTTTTTGTTATCTGAATTTTAATTCTGTTGGGGTTATTTGTTTCTTTTTTATGGGAATTGTATGAGTACTGGATTGAATTAGATTAAATTATGTTGCTTCTTGTTTATTAAAGTAATTAAACCTTGCTTAAGCTGTGTTATGAGGCGAAAAGTTGGGGGAAATCTTGAAATTCAAATGATTGAGATCATCTATAGAATGAGGGATAAAGATAAAGAGGGGATATGAAAAACGAGGAAGAGGGTTATGGGATTAGATGAGATAGGGCAGAATTCACGGCAGAAGGAGACGAATAAGTGTAGATGAGAGAGAGGAGAGTTGCTAGGGGAGGAGACTTTAGGGGAAAGGAGTGGATAAACTTAGAATAGAGGTTGAAGGGCTACACCAGTAAAGGGGGATTGGAGTGAAAAATTTGAATATAAGGTAATAAAAAAAAAAAATCGAGTTAAATTTCGATGCCATGGACGACTCATGGAGCATTGTTGTCTAGCTGTAATGGCTAGTGTAGAGACAAAACTTGATTGTTTTACTGTAGTTCGATTTTCAGGGGATTGTATGGATTTTAGAGTGTACCAACAAAGGGAAGTCCTACTAGAAAACTAAAAAATGTGGGAGCAATATGTAGAAAATCTTTTTTTTTTTTTGGTTGAGGGGTGGGCGGCTGATGTGTTCAATCTGTTCACTAGGAGACCTTTTGATTTCGTGTAGACTGTTTGAATGAATGGTATTCTTGCAAAATGCGTTATAGTGTAACTTCCAGGAGATATAATATGATGCTTCTATTTATTGATTCTAACTCAGAAGAGCTTCTAAATTGTAAAATTGTAATACTAAAACATGCAGTGTCATCGTCCATTATATTGCTATATAATATCTTGCAATTTGAAATTTGATCACAAATTCTTCGTAGCTTTCTTAATTGATATTTAAAGATGAATTTATATATGAACTTTGTTGGTACTGACTAGATAGAAGGTGGGGGCATATGAACTCAATTCTGACAGAAGTTTTTAATTACTTAAATTTTTGGGAGGCATTAAGTTGACTAAGAGAATTGCAATGAATTTCATTGCCATTCTAATCTCTATGATTTTTGCAGTTTGTTCACAGCCTATATGGGTGAAAATGCTGCAAATGGGTTTGAATCACCCCGGCCGCGGTCTAACCTCTTGAGGGATCAAGTCCAGTTAGTGAAGAGAAAGGACTCCGATCGCTATGAGATTGTCCCAATTGACGCCCATTTAAAATTTGAGAAGGGATTTTTTGTTGTGATCCGTGCTTGTCAGTTGTTAGCCCAGAATAATGAAGGAATAATATTAGTTGGAGTTGCTGGTCCTTCAGGTGCAGGGAAGACTGTGTTCACTGAAAAGACGCTCAACTTTATGCCTAGTATTGCTGTTATATCAATGGACAACTATAATGACTCCAGCCGAATCATTGATGGGAATTTTGATGGTTGGGCCTCAAATCTATCCTCTCTTCATCTGATTTTTAAGCACTCCATTTTGGCTAATAAAATAATTTTCATGTGCACTGTTATATTCTACTCGAGAGCAAGGATTTATTAAAATTATATACACAATGCATATTTCTGACACGTTTAGAGTATTAAACTTGGCTTCTTTTGGAGATTTTCACTGCTTTTGAAAGCTATACTTTCATGCCGTTCGTATATATATGCGTCGAGCATCTATGGGGAACAAAAAGAAATTCTAGTGAACAAAAAGTTTCAGTATGGCTCTTGCATTTATCATCCGTTTTTTGATGTCTCGTCACAAATTTCATAACATTTAATCCTATGCATAATTATCTTGGACCTTGGAGCACAAATAGGTCTTGTGGACTTGCACGCTTATTATCAAGACGAAACTTTAATTTCTCAGTAGTCAATTCGCTGTGTGTGTGTGTACGAAGTAAAATTAAAAGTTGAACCTATGGCAACGCTCTGGAATATTTTGTGTTATTT